TCTCTATAAGAATGGAGAAAAGAAAATGGAAGTAATGCCCTAATGCTGTTCAATTTTGAGTTAAGTGTTTCACACTAATCACTTGGATTGTTCAGAACATTTTGTTGAAGAACAACTAGAAACGCTCCTGCAGATTCACTGTGGTATTTTCTACTTAGTGGAATAATTTGAAAAGAAAATATTTTATTAATTTACCAACTCATACACTTACAGATACATATAGTTTACCTAATACTACAATTGGAAAACTATATGAATTGGTACAAGATTTTTATCTTCTCTTAATTATTTTGGACTTGGAGTTAATCTCAGCAAAGGAACAATCTGATTTCCCTTAATATTCTGAAATCTGCTGCATCTTATTCAGTTCCGCTAGCTACGGACATTTCCAGGCTTGCCTCCCCCTGCTATGGACTTATTCAGTCTTAGGAAACAAAATGCAATTGGCAGTAACCCTGGGGCAGGTGGGCACTGGTAGCCTTTACTTCATCTTCACCCCAGGGAAAATTCATGAGACAAGTTATACTATTTATTTGCTTAAGAACTTCCGTTCTGCCATTCCCTCCATATGGTTTATGTTTTCCTTCTGAATTGGTGCTCTCACAGTACAAAACCGCCTTTGTCGAGAGGCAGTAACAGGTGTGTTGTGAGAGAAGGAGCACGTGTGAGAGAATGAGAGAAGGTGTGCATCTGTGTGTGAGAATGCAGAGGGCAAAGTGTGAGTTCTGTGTGTGCAGGTGTCCGTGTAGTCTAAGACATGAAGACCCAGCATGCTCGATGAATTCCTCAGGAGAATATATTTACGTAATATTTAAGAACTCTTGGCTGAGAAATCTCTGTACCATCTGTGAATACATCCCTTCTAGAGAAATGTTGCAAAAGCACATTTGGTTCCTAAGATAGATGAATCACATGCATTTTAGCAAAGAAGTTCATGGATGAACCTAGCTTCGCAATGCTCACTTCGTCTTATGTTACTGCCTAAATAGTGTATTAGAAAAAGTGTGAGCTCCCAGCCAGACAAACTAGATTAGAATTTCAGCCTTGTATTCCTCAGTGTGGGGATGTTGATTGATTTATTACATTTCTACAACTCCCATTGTCCTTACCCATAAATGCTGGATAACAATGCCTTTCTCCCAGTGTGACAGAGAGAACCATTTGTAGAGTTGCTTTGCTCAGTGCCTGGTGCACAGAAAATGTTGGTTCCTGCCCCCAAAATGCAATTTTCAGATGTGGTTAAGCAGAAATGGGAAAAACTATTTCTGTATATTCAGGTAAAAAATTGACAAGGTTCAAATTGCCTTCTATTTTGCCAACAGAAATTTGCCCTTTGGCTTGATGAAGTTGCTGGGATGTTGCAGCTGCATGTGTTGGCTTCAAGTACATCTTCACCATGGAACACTGGCATGACTGTGCCCTGCTTTTAATATACACAAGCACTCCTTCCCTGCTCTCCACAGGTCCTGACCTTCGAGCTAGCTTCATGGGAATGGTCGTGAAGCTACATCTAGCCTCTAAGTCTATCTGGATTAAACTCTGAGTTTCATCATCTTTACAGAGTCAGCAGCTCCACCTGACTGGCGAAAAGGAAGGCTCTCAGCTTTTTATAGTCATCACAGTATTGTGGTGAGAACTCAAAGGGAAGTTCAAATCCCACAACTGCCACTATGATACAAAAACAAACAAAGCAAAAATGGTTTAACTCCTGCGTCTGTGTTTCTAGTTTTCTTATTAGACATACCAAAACAGAGTTGCTATGAGCATTTGTTAGGAAATCATCTCATACCATGCTTAACACAAAGTAAATCATCAATGAATATCAGTAACTTTCACAAAGCCCTTAAGTGCATATGATAGACAATCATTTTGCACACATATTTAAACAATTTCCTATTTGGCCGGTTGGCAGTGATTGGTCAACTCCAAAAGAGAAACCATTCTGTGCTGATAAGTAGGGCAACAAAGACATTAAAATCTAATCAGGCATTCTCTCTGGTCCACGGTATAGTAATTATCAGCCACCATTTCCTAATTTAAAAGGCAGATCAGCATACCAGACTGGTACATACTTTTATGGATTTGCATGGTAGATACTGTGGATAGATTTCCCCTGTACACAGTCTAGTCCAACTCAGGCATGCTTTTTAGTAATTCAATTTGCAAGGCTTACTAGTACATTTTCCTTATAGTAAGAATTTCATATGTAATAGAGATTACAGTAATCAAAAGTACCACCACATGAAACTTGAGTTTAAAATTAGATTATATAATATCTTAGATTGGATTACCTGGACACAGAGTCTGAGGCAAAGCTTGGCATATATCAGTTTTGTGGTTTTTTTGTTTTGTTTTGTTTTGTTTCGTTTTTTTTTTGTTTTTTTTTAGGAACAACTCAGAAGGAAGAGAGGAAAACAGGACTGGACAGAGTTTGGAAAGTTGAACTTCAATATAGTTTGCAAATGAGACCTCAACCAATCCCCACAGGGTGCTGTGCACTGGGAAGACTATTCAGAAGTGTCTAATTGAGGCAGCAGGAGCCAGTATGTTGCACCTGCATCTATTAGTCATTGGGTGTAAGCTGTCCCTAGGAACAGGGCTTACCTTGGGCAAGGTTACTTTGTGCAGCTAATTTGTGACAACCCGAGATACACCGCTTCCATCACACAATAGAGTGCTGCTGGGTCACCATATGACTTGGTGGATCTTACAGATAGGCAACTTCTCAACATGGCATACTAGGATCTATTCTTCAAATGGAATATGGTTTTATGCTGTAGGTATCAGTTGCCTGACTAGGTGTGTGTGTTTTGATTCCCCCAGTGGGATAACCTTGGTGTAAACCTCACAAGGCATCTGTTTCTGTCAGATAGCTCAATCCTAGTACCTAGTATTGCTTAAGTGACAATCTGTTTGTATAGAAGCCAGGTCCTGCTGCACAGCCCATATTGCTCTCCCCTCCCCATTTCACCTCTACCCATCCTGGGTTCCTTGTTTCCTGACGAATGGACTGAAGAGGTTCCAAGTGGGGAATTTGCTGCACTCCAAACCAAAGAAACCTATAAGACATTGTGCTTTCTTCTTAGTGGTGAGATTTGCAGATGCCATAGTTGTCTTTTACTTTAGAAAAGATGCCCTGAGCGTGCCCCAGAGCCTAAGCACTGCACTGGTGCAGGGGCCTCTGAACTTCATAAGACATCTCCTGTCCTCCGGACTCATTGACTTACCAAAGACTGCAGAGTATTTATGTTGGCATTTATCTCTGTCACTATCCCTCAGGTGTGACTTATATAATTTATTATTTATATGATCTTGGCAGGAAGAGAGAGGGTCTCAGAGGCTCCCATTTGCCCTTCCCTGCTGTGATAGCTAAGAAACCATGTGGAAGGTTTGCCAACTACTAAGCATGTTCATTCAATGCATGGCCCATTGAAGAGACCAGTAGGTACGTTTGTGGTCCCAGTGATTCATTGTGAGCCAGATCGGGCCAGAATTGCATTTGTCAACTCACTCTCACATCTCACAGAAGGGCCGTATCACTTCAGGTCCCAGCTATCAAAGTCAACTTAAAGTCCATGACAACTAGTCCTTAAAATGTCCGAGTATTTTCATTTTCCCAAGTAAGTGACTGTAGAACCTTTTAAGGTGGACAGGGTGAATCATTACCTTATACACCTTCCATGGTGCTATGGGATACTTCTTCCTGGCTTAGCTTCTCTTTCAGTCAGTGGATTCCAGAACTGAGTATAGGTCAAGTCTAGGAATTGAGCAAAGGGTCATGTCTTTTTCCTGAGGCTACTGCCCTTAGTCTCCTAACCATCCATTCTTGATTTATTTCGATTGTAACAGATTGAGCAATAACCTACTGGCTGCCCATCTTGCATGCCTCCAGGCATGCCATACTTTATTAATAATCTCTATTACTCTCTGTGAGTCAGACCTCCTGGCTGTCACTCTGACTTTGTTGCTTGTTACAATAATTGCACCCACTTGCTTCTAATGTGAAGAAGATCGAATAGTAACAGAAGCCTCAGCTGATTCTATGAGATGCTCTATAGCTAGGACTGATCTTGAGAGGTGCCCCTAACTGAAAAAAGAAAGCTGGGTCTTTGGTGTGGGATGCATATTTTGGGCTAGGTAGCTTTCTACGGCCAAGGGAAATTTCTAGTGGTGATCTGCAGCCAGCACTCCTGGCATTTGGGGGACCATGCTTCAGAACTATGCCTTCGACCTAAAAGAAGTTTCTAAGTGATACCACAGCACTCACTACATGTGGGAAAGAGGCAGATCACAAAACATCTCTCTGCCTATGTGGATCTTGGTGAGGGCATTATGGTTCTGGAACCAGAAGATATAGCAGCCATTTTCTTACTCTTCAGCTTTTGATCATGTCAGAGGTGGCAGCTCCTTTGATTTTCTAGTTCTAGAATGTTGTTTTGAGATATCCTAAAATCAGAGTCTGTTTTGTCAGCCCTCACAATGATTATGTGAACTTTTAGCTTCTCTAAATAAACCCCTTCCTGCTTAAAACAGAGTAAATTCTGTCATCATAACTAAGAACCTTGAGCAAAGTTAGTATTTGATAGTGGCATCCATTCTGCTTAGATGGTGCTGTGCTGTATTGGTCATTATATACATTGAATATTACATAAACCTTCATCCATATAGTCAGTGTATGGACTAAAGGCAAAGTAGCTCATTGATGCTCTATGCTGATCTTCCCAGGACCACAGCTCTTTCATGGTTGTTGATCGACATGGAGTCAGTGCCCACTTTGAGAATATGCTCATATTAGTTGGCTATTTAGGCTTATAAGAAAGGAATATGGACAGATTACTTTGGGAGGGAAAGCCTTTTTTTTTTTTTTTTTTTTTTTTTTTTTTTAAGATTTTATGGAGCTGTGGTATAATAAATGATACAGCTCAATAGCTATAGAAATTCAGGATCTTGGTGCTTTAAGAACCAAGAACAGACTTCCGGCGGAGGCGGGGCGGCGCGCGATGGCGGCTGGCGGCAGCGACCCGCGGGCTGGCGACGTGGAGGAGGACGCCTCGCAGCTCATCTTCCCCAAAGAGTGTGAAACAGCTGAGACACTTCTAAATTCAGAGGTTCACATGCTCCTGGAGCATCGAACGCAGCAGAGTGAGAGTGCGGAGGACGAACAGGAACTTTCTGAGGTCTTCATGAAAACGTTAAACTGCACAGCTCTCAGTCGCTCCAAAAACAGAGAGACCATTGCCAGTGTCCGAAGCTTGTTGCTCCAGAGGAAGCTTCATAAGTTTGAGTTGGCCTATTTGGCCAGCTTTTGTCCAGAGACTGCTGAGGAGCCCAAGGCTCTCATTCCAAGCCTGGAGGGGCGATTTGAAGACAGGAGCTGTAGCAGATCCTCGATGACATCCAGACCAAGCGCAGCTTCCAGTGCTAACCTCCAGCATCGTGCTGCCGAGGGAGCCCCGCGCGGCACGTCTCCCAGGACCCGAAACTCTCCCAGACGACACGGGACACTGGGGACAGCAGCACCGCTGGGTCTTGGCTTGGGTTGCTGTTTCAGACTTGGCTGTTAGACATGACGACCATGGAGTCTTGGAGAGACCTTGCTGTGGCTGCTTGCTGGCTTCCTGAGCTCACCTCTGGAGAGGGGGGGGGGGGGGGGGTGATTGCATATAAACTACGCTGTTGTCTACCTCATACCGTGGGTTTTGGCCCTGTGTTATTTTTTATTCCTTATGGTTCATGTTTTAGTTTCAATGTCTTTATAGTTTTTGAAACATATAAAGCTGGAATGGTAAACAACAGTCTTACCTAAACGCACAAGGAAGAATTAAGCCAGACCTGCATCAATGTTTGAAATTCTTGAAGATAGGATGGTGGTGTTGACTACCAGAGAGAGCCGTGACATTTTTGTGCTTAACCCGGAGACAGGAGGCAGCTCACTAGGGAAAGCAGTTATGTCAGAGGATCACTGCTGAGCGAGTGGAGCCTGTAGACTTGAGGTAGACAGCACTTTGCCTTTTTTCTCGCACTGTTGGAGAATGTAGTTTTGGACTAAGGGATCCTAATGTACTTAATTTTTCACTCCTAAACTAAGATGTTTTTTCTTCATGCCAGACATGAAGGTCTCAACACTTTTTTTTATTTTTGTTTTTTTAATCCTCACCCGAGAATATTTTCCCACTGATTTTCAGAGAGAGGGAAAGGCAGAAATATATTTTTTTAAATATATTTTTTATTGATTTTATACCGAAAGGAAGGGAGAGAGATAGAGAGTTAGAAACATTGATGAGAGAGAGTCATCGATCAGCTGCCTCTTGCACACCCCCTACTGGGGATATGCCCACAACCAAGGTACATGCCCTTGACAGGAATCGAACCCGGGACCCTTCAGTCCTCAAGCTGACGCTCTATCCATTGAGCCAAACCGATCCCGGCGAAAGGCAGAAATATTGATATGAGAGAAACATCTAGATTGGGTTGCCTCCTGCACATGCCCTGACCAAGGCCTGGACCGGGGAGTATTCTGCAGCTGAGGTACATGCCCTTGACTGGAATCGAACCTGGAACCCTTTGGTCCATAGACCAATGCTTTATCCACTGAGCCAAACTGGCTAGGGCAACACTTTGAAATCTCTTTGTATGTGCATCCCATCCAAACCTCTGCTGGGTTTTTGGCCACAGATGTTTGTTGAAGCGGTATTCTGGAAGGACAGAGTTTGCCCCTTCCTGAAACACTACAGTGAAACCTTTTTAAGAGCTAAACATTTTAGTTTTGATTTTTATGAAGGGAAATATGCCTGGTGTCTTCACAATTTGGGAATTTTTTGTTGTTGTTGGCTTGAAATGAATTCATGATCCAAAGAAGAGGTTGAGGCCCTGGCTGTTTTGTCTCAGTGGGTAGAGTGTTGGCCAGCGGACTGAAGAGTCCCAGGTTCAATTCCAGTCAAGAGTACATAGAAACATCTACGCGTCTCTCTCATCATAGATGTTTCTATCTCTCCCTTTCTCTTCTCTATGAAATCAATAAAAATATATATTTTTTTTTAAAAAGAGGTTGAGGAGCCCTAACAGGTTTGGCTCAGTGAATAGCGCATCGGCCTGCAAACTGAAAGATCCCAGGTTTGATTCCAGTCAAAGGCAGCTGATGGATGTTTCTTTCTCATTGATGTTTTTAACTCTCTATCCCTCTCCCTTCCTCTCTGTAAAAAGTCAATAAAATATATTTAATTAAAAAAAAGAGCTTGAGGAAAGTTGGCTTTAAAGGCCAAGATAGTTTTATATTAGCTGCTAAGACAAAAATAAAATGTGTTTATTTTTATAAATTCTTAAAAAACAAACAAACCAAGAACAATTGGCCATAAGCAGTCTAAACTTGAGAAACTTGCCTTCTCTTTATACCTGAGTATTTGTTCTTTTCCAAAAGGGGGTTTCATTTGATTGGTATACCTTCATCCAATGGGAACTGTTATTATTGGGCAAAATTTCTTTCCAAGCCTTTGCAAAATCAGTTGGTTTCTTGTGTGTCTAGCACACATATGGTTGCTCTTGATTTTCCCATAGAATCCAGGTTGAGCCAGTTGGAGACAGGATAATGAGAATCATCATAACACTCATAAAGACAACATAATGCTATGTAGCTTTAAAAGTAGAAACTATCTTGGCTTGGGGCAAGTAAGTGGTTTTTTTGTAAAGAGTTACTGCAGTCAGCCCAGTGCTGAATCCTCCAGAAAGTGACTTGTCGGAGTCTGGACCCCAAGTTTCATATCAAGGGGAGATGCTGCTTCTCCTCCTGTCTCCAGAGCCCTTTGTATAAATTCGTCTGTTTTCTCCAATGGATCAGATAGACTTAGTGTAATTTGTTTTGTAGAGAAGCTGATTTATGTAGAGGCACACATTTTAGGGTAGAGCCTGCAGAGTCTTATGTACTTACTGGAAAATAAGAAAATAAATTGCTTCAATTTTCTCAAATGAAAAGGTATTGTTTTAAAATATCATATAACTTTTATATAACAGTGCTTTTCAAATGTATTTGAAAAGTTATCTTGGCTTCTTGTTAGATAAGGCCCAGTGAATCAGAATCTGTAGGAGCAAGATCTTGAAAGCTTTGTGTTTAACAAGTGCCCAGAAAAAGTTTAGGAACTCAAGCTATTTGCTATGTACCTCTCTCTGGACAGTAGTATTAAGATAATAAATCTTATAAATGGCCTCCATATGTCTTCATCCATTTCAGTGTCACAAATGGATCCCAGCATGTTTGTACCAATTGGATGTGCAAGAAGAAGTTGTCAAACAGACCTGGATATTCAAACTAACAAAGGGAGCTAACACCAGTGTGGTCTTTTTCTTTAAAAATCAAGGTGATAAGATAAAGTTAAGTGGACAAAATAAAAGCAAGTGTGCTAAACTATGACCACTTTATAACCAGCTTATGAATTATATATCCAGCAGTGCTAATCCATTCCTTTTTCCTTTTTCCTTTCATCCTATATTATTAGAAATCTCTCTAGCTTCTTTATAATTCTGTGGAACAAGAACTAAATGCTAAGCTGTTTTCTTTGTTGAAAAGACAGAAGTATAACTTGACACTAATAAATGACTACATTACACAATTACTTGAATATGAGTCTTCAGCAAAAATGAAATGACTCGAGGCTTTCCAACAAATACCAGCTTAAGCTCAGTAAATAACAGCTTGTGTCAAATTTGTTTATTAGCATGGATAATTTGTTCTTAACTAGACATATTTTACACTTGAAGTAATGTTTTACTAGAACTACATAAAGCAATTGTGCAATTGATAATAAATATGTCACTACTGGCACGTAATTAATTCAGATGAAGTTAGTGGAAACCATGGTAGCACCGCCTAGAGAATAGCAAAAGGATGCATAAATAACTAGATGAGCAAATAACAGATGGCGTACAAAGGACAACAATAAGAGAAATAAAGATGAACAAGATTGTGTGTGTGTGAACATATTTTTTCAAGCACCTATGACACGCCTGACATCTTGTGAGATCCTTTCTTTGAAACTGTTCAGGAAGGTATTGAATTCAATTATTGTAGATAAAGGAACTGAGAGTCTGAAAGGTTAAGCAGTTTGTCCTATGATATACTGTTAAATATTGAAGAAATTGAAGTCTAAGTCCCGGTAGAGCCATGCTTTTGCTACCAATATTTAATGTAGTGTCAACAAGCATGGGTTTTAGGATCAGATATACCTTACTCAGCTACTCACCAGATAAGTAAAATTACTTAACATCTCTTAGCCTTAATAATAACAGCATGTAGTACCTAAGATTACTGTGAGGTTTAAATGAAAAAACACATAGGAAAAATAGTATAATGCCTGGCACATACGAAGCACTAGTAAAGTTAGTTAATATTATATCTCCAGGGAAGTCAGCACAGAGTAAATAATTAATCAATAGACTGGTAATTGAGCACCATTTCAAATGATATTTTTCTCTGTACTAGTTCAGGTAGATATGGACTGAGTTTAACCAAGACTGTGGTTAAATACAGACTTCCTATTTCTGAGACAATTTTACTTTCATGAAATGTTATTACTTTTGAAAAATATGTTTCATTTAACAACCATTATTTTAAGTACCTGTGTCAGATACTTCATTCAAGGAGCTCACAACCTTATGATTGGGTATGGGATTGTGGCAGGAGCACAGAAGAGGAAGAAATGGGAAGAAGCTTGAAGGAAAATAGATAGGACTTTAGACTAACAGAACATCTTGATGAGTTAGTCTTATCTTTAAAGCAGAGAACAGCTCTGGTAAGTTAGGAACCCTGCTTCACCAATTGATGGAAGAGACATAACAGTTCATTGAAGTAAATGAAGAAGTAACATTTAAAAACAGGTATAAAGCAAGAGTAAGAGTGGGCTAGGCCAGTAGATGCAAAGGGTTGAGTATAAGAGAGAACACTGTGGCCTGGCATGTAAGGCTGGGATGCATGAGGGCATGGGAGCAAGCAGGTGGAGAAAGGTCTGTGGTCAGTCATCAGAAGGCATAAGTTCAAAGGAGTCAATTCAGGAAGAATCTTACATTTGCTTTATGCTCTATGTCTGTGGTTTGTTACTTCAGTTAGAAGTAACAAACCACAGACATAGAATCACCTGTTTTATTTGGAACTATAGTTGCATCCCAAAACAACTCTACACTGTTTAAGGCACACTCTCCTACTAAAAAATTAAATTAAAAATTAGACAAAATCCCTTTAAAAGCCTGTTTAAACACCTGAAAACTACCAAGAGAGTGAGAATTTGGAAACCCAAGATCTAGAAAAGGGGGAACTCCAAGAGTGGTGACTTGCCATTTGGGACAATGTTTTTCCTCAAAAGGATTGAACACCCATTTCAAAATCAGTACCTGAGAGCTTGAGAAGTGGAAGAGTTTTCAGTAGCTTAGATATGGAGTGGTGAAAGTTGGAGTTCAGGGGCTACCAAAGTAGATTAGACCTGGTATATATATCTCTGGACTTCATTTTGGACCCTCAAATTTTATACAGTAGGAGTGAAGATTTTCTAGAAATAAACCAGGTCTCATAAGAACAGAA